ATTGGTGAGATAGAATATGCTGAAATTTTGCATTCTGAACTTTGATTCAGGAAAAAAAAGATCAAAACTAATTTTGGAAGTTATTCTGGCCAATTTTTCTTGATTTGACTTATGGTGGAAGCCAAATTTAGATGCAGTAGATGCCAAATTTAGATGTTCCTACTGGTAAAACAGACTAACCTTTAACTGCCTAGGCCATTATCTAAGATCATGCTTCATTAGTAACAAGATCATGTGAAAGATGAACAGTGGCTTTGATGATGTGCTGTAAATGCTAATATACTGATTTTTCTTTGAATTTTCCACACACACTTTATGTTCCCATAGAAGATACTACATTGTTGATACCTGCTTTCCACTTCCTGGTAGGCGAGAAGCCTTTCAAAATGTGAGATCTGCTCTTATGCCTCCACTGAGGCAAACTCTCAGGAGCCCCATTTCCAAACACGTGCTGGTGAGAGGCCCTACGCACGTTGACTCTGTTTGTAAAGTGTAAATAATCCGTCTGTCAGACAAATTCTGTAAATCTGTTGGCTTTTAAAAAAACAAAGCCAACAAAACCCCACACTTCAACGTGTCGCTCCTATGTGTTAATAAAAGCCACGTCAAGCATTTAAATATATTCCTGTTAGGAGCTTGGCTCTATGAAGGCTTTTTTGTTTAAAAGGAGGAGTGCTTTACGTCCCCTCTACAGCTCTTTCTGTGTATAACTGCACAGACTGTGCTGGAAAACGTGTGGAACGTTAATATGCTAAATAACAAAAATATCTGGTAGAAGATGATAGTATCTGTCTGTGCGTGAAGGGGTACTGGAACAAATGGTATGTGACTTGTATAAAACAAAAATGTGTTCATTCACTAACTGCATGCCTTAATTTGCTGTATTAGGTGCACCGTGCTGCTTTTTCACACTGCTTTTTGTCTGTGACTTTGCTCGTGGTGTTTTGATTCCACCCTCCCACCCCCGCGGGTTGAGGAAATGATCACATTTCTGACAGTGCTAATGCATCTCATTTTGCAGTGTTGGCAGAGCGTGTCATGTGATGAGTGGGAGCATTAGCTAGTCTTAGTAAAGTCAAAGTACATGGTAAAAGTATGTACTTGGCATCCTTAGAGGCTGTTTAAATGTTAAATTCTTGTGTGTTTAAACTCTGTACGCTAAGTGAGGTACTGTTTGCTTTGGGCTTTTTTTAAACTCGAAAGGTTTAAAGTAAGATAAGCTGATGTCTACAAATCGCTTCCTGAGGTGTACAGTGGTTGGTTGAAGAGACAGCTTCATTAGTTTTGGTTTATTACTTATGTAAGGGAAAGCTTAATTTATTCTGCTTCTTTCTCCATCATAATAAAGGTAATTCTGATGACAAAACTAGTGCTCCTTTTGGAGAGTCTTTTGATTAATTTAATTCCAGGATTAATTTAATTCCAGACTTAAAATCTGGAAATGCATATATCAAAAGCAGTAAGATACCTTGAGCTTAAAATTCCCCCTTCATCAAGAGCTTTTTCTGTACCTGGTAATGGAATAACAGGAAAAACATGTTTTTCCTAGTTTTTGTGGCAGCTGTGTAAAAATGCAGATTTGTAAACATTATCCAGATGTTGTAACAAAAAATGGAGGGAATTTGTATAATGGAATGGTCACTTAGTGGCGTGGTTATAAAGACACATATTTGTTTACAGATACTTTCTCACAAGTATCATGTATGTCCTAATACATGAGCAGGAGAAAATAGTGGTTGGGAAATTCGAGAGGAATGGTAGTGGTGAACTCCACAGACGAAAAAGTGGAGCACTGGTAACCTATTACTCTTTGTGCATTACTGTAATAGGCACAAGAAGTGTGGTTTCCTGTCAGAAGGCTTTAGTTATAGCATACAGGTAAGCATGACAGGGGACTGTCCTTAAGTCCTGTACTACTGAAAATCTATTTTTTAATAAAGCATATTGTAGTACCCTTAATAGTATTTTGTCTCTTTGCAGTGTTTATTTTACAAGTAATTCATTTGTAATAAGTTGGCCCTACTTAGAGAGTTCAAAGATTTCATTGCTTTGCAAATTAACAACATGCCCCCTTCCACCAGCCTGCTTTGCCTTGTTAGATGCACATTAGCCATCACAACATAAATACTTGCATGCTTAACTTTTGTGATGGAACTAGTTCCATTTGAAGTTAGTAGAGTTGTTCTTTAATAAGTTAAAAACTTAGTATATATAGAGAGCTTATGAGATCAGGAAGTGAATGTTTTAACCAGTGTCTGTAAGAGTAAATGATAACACTCTCTGAAAGCACTCTTTGCTTGTATGTAGAATCTATGCTTACAAAATATTTAGTTCCTGTCTGTCTAGTGGCAAATGCCTGCATAATGTTCCAGACCTAAACAGTTTGGATGTTTGAAATTGCCACTTCTGAAGCAGTTTACCTGAATTGGGTAAATACGGTTCAGTTAGGCTTTTTTGTTAATCTAGTTCAGGTCTGTAATAGTCTTAATATTTTTAAGTACACTAGAATATTACATGCTCTGTTTCTGAAATTGTATCAAAAATACAGCAAAAGGTAGTGATACTAAAGAAAAAGAAAAACAAAAAAAGAAAAAACCCTAAGCAAACACAACCCTTTCCCAGTCCCCAAGCATATACTTTACAGCCACACAGAACCCCTTGACTGATTCAGTGGGCTGTAATCAAAAGTGAAGCATAAAGGGTAGAAATCACATGCAGATCTGTGTAAGCAAGACTAACAATTGCATAACTGCAGTGATGAAATATACAGAAAAGTGCAATCTGCAAACTTGTCCTGTATTCTGGTTTAGTTCAAGAATAAATATACATTGTTTACTGATACTGAATTAGAAAAGAGTGTCATTATTCAAACTCTAATCTGTTAAGATTATTTCTGCTTTGAGTTTATCATATACATTGAATGAAAAACAGTATAGTGAAATCTGTAGTGGCTACTGCTCATCAAAATTCAGGATTACAGTGCAATTTAATTTTAAAAAGCATCTCTGTGTGTCGATACGTATATATATTTATGTGTGTGTGAGTATAATGAACTCAAGACTTAAAATGTGTATGTAACTAGGCTATTTACAACAGGTAGAGTCTCTTCAGTTCAAGGCTTTTGTCTTATCAAGAACTTAGAGCTATGTAGAAGAAGAGATGTAAACTTGCTTGAGATATCTGCCTTGCTTAGTGACTTGGAAGAGTCAGATGACTGCTTCTGATGGCACAGAATCCGACAGGTTCACATTTTTGGTAGTTTTGCTGTCAAAGACTGCAAGAGGATTTCCTGAAAGTTGTGCATTCCTGGTGATAGAGGTAGGGAGAGTTCTGTGCTGCTTTAATAAGAATGTATGGGAAAATGTTTTGTGTGAATCTTAGTTTGAAAACAGAAGTTTTTTTATGCCTGTGTAGTGAAATACTTCCTTACATGCCAGATCAACCAATTATATTTTTTGTTAGGTGTGAGGGGGAAGGAGGGTTAAGGTATGTTTTCTGATGAAGCATACTTTAAGAAAGCCTAAAGTCTTTTGCTTGTTGCATTCATATAAATAACACCACCACCTAAGTACCACAACCCCAAATATAAAAAAACCCTTAAATGTTTGCAGCACCGTGAGGTTCTTAAACTGGTATGGTGTATACATTGCTAAGTCTGAGAGTTAATTTTAGCCAAGTTAGTTGTTTAATTTGACCTCTCAGTGGATCCCCGTCTATGCTCAATGGAGGACGATGGCCCTTCTCAAAAGACATCTTCATTTCACATAAGACATTACTTAAATGCGTGGGCGAATTCACCCCCATTGGGGTTACTTACTGCCTGCCTACAGGTAACTTCACAGCTGAAACCTAGCAGATAACACGCCCGTTGACTAACATGTGGGATGAATCCCACTGTGGGTGATTGCTTTAATTTCCTAGCTCATAGGGCTGCAAATAGTTGTTGCCGAAATAAACAGATCCTTAATATCTTTTTAAGGGAAACCTTAAGTTCAGAGAAGCTTACACTAAAGACTGGTCAAAGTTTTAAAATCTGGTTGTTTAGTGCTAGGTAACAAGTGCTGAGATTAAGCAGCAAGTCTTGATTCTCTTACAGCCTGTTTACAGCTCTATTCTAGGTTGGTTTTGTATGGGGGAAGTGTCAAAACCCAAACACTTAGATTCTAGATCTGGTATTCCCTGAACCTAAAAGAACTGAGGTTTTGATTAGGATCAGATAATAATTCCACTATGTCAGGACAGGATTTAGACCCATAATAAGTATGTAGCAGACCTCGTGTTAATATAGAACGAATCCTTGAAAGTATTTGTTAGAGTTAAGCTCTTTATTTTGAGTTATGTCCCTCTGTCATAGTGCAAAATGGGTAGGATTAAATGACAAATGCAAGGTCAAAACTTCAGTATATTCAGACTGGTTTGCAGCTTTCACTGCGTTGAGCTGGGATTATATGCAGATATGTATGCAAGCACATACATCTCAGGTGTGTGTGGCTGCTGGAGGAATTGTATTCTAAGGGTGTAAATGCATATAGGTCCTGTTAAGACTAAGAAGTAAATTGGGACACTTGTGTTTGTAGGAGTTTAGATTCTTACTGCCTGTACAGAAGTTTTATTTTTGAAGGATATGTCCACAGGTGCACAACTGACACTAAAATAGAAATACAGCTGAAACCATGGTGCGAAACTCCACTAACTTACTTCAGTGGTAGGAAAAAAATGGTGAAAGACGTAATCTCTCTTGTGTAAAACGACACATTTTAGGTTTAGAAACTCGCACTTGAGAATACAGCTAATTGTAAGTGAAATCATTGGGTTAGGAGTCAGGAGAGCTGTGTTCTGCCACTGGACAGAGCCATGAGATCATGCTAGGGATGACTCATCCCCTGACCTACTGTTTTGGATTTGTGAACAGTCCAGTTAGAGACTGAGTGCCTGTGTTCATGCAGTGCTTCCTGCTACTGATGGTACTAATGTCTGATATGTCTTTAATTTTTTTACAGCATTCAGAAGAAGAGTTTGGACTGTCACATACGCTGACATCATTCTCGTGAGGCATTTGGCTGTAGTTTTTGCTGCAATTCTTCTCCTGATAAAGCAACTTCTCTGAAAACACATGAAGAAATATCACCTGGGTTCAAGAACCTCATTAACCAGTTCCCAGCCCGTTTTTAACCTCAAATCACTTTCTGTGGAAGGTTCTTCATGCTTAAACTTCCACCCGAGCATCCCAGCAAATAAAGAAGCTGTTGGCATTGTCAGACTTTTGTGCTGAAAGCCAAGGGTTATCTGGAAGAAGAGAAGAAACGGTCCTTATGTGGCAATTAAAAGCACTTTGAATGAACTTACCAAAAAGCTTTGTGTGTGTTATGCTCCAGTTGGTAACTCCAATGTCCTGAGAGGAACATGAAGATTTGTGTTGCATGAAGGGTGGACATGTTGATTTTTGTTCTGGTTACCTCTTGCTGACATATTCTGCTTACTTACAAATGAAGAGTTTGACATTTCAGGGCAGAATCTGTTGAAATGTACCAAAGCTGACAGTGAACCCTACAGGTTGTTTCTGTACTATACCTCTCATTTTTAATATGGGTCTCTATATAAATCAGGAAGCCATTCAAGAAAATCTACTGATGCTGTACCACTCATAATGTGTCTATTATCATAAGCTAATCCAATGTTGAAGTACAAATATAAACTATTGAATTATGATATCAAATAAACTTGACTTAAAATTCAGTGATTAAACTCATCTGTATTTTATTTAGCCAAATAGAAATTGCTCACTTAAAGATTAAATTAGAGGAATGGAATACTTTCTAATTTTAGGTTGTTAGAGGACTTGTTTGCTCTAAGACTTCATGTTCATTCTTTGACTATGGCGGTTTTGTGGCATCTGTTATTAGCTATGAATGTTATTCAGGAAATGGAAATCTTGCTAAAAATAAAAAAACCTAATATCACAACTTCCTACCAGACAGAAGCAAATAGTGACTGAGGTGTGCCAACACTGTTCTCTTAAACACAATTCTAAAGAATATGCTGCTAAAATAGGGTAAAAGTTTCCCTTCAGGTAAGTTGTAGATTTCTTGATTTACAGGAAAACTTTAGTAAAAGACTTATGTGGAGAGTAGCTACTGGCAAATTGTAGGTAGAATCTTTAATAAAGAATTAAAGAGGATTTTTTTTCAGAGAAGAAAATTTTTACATTGTTAGAAACTGAGCATCACAGACCTCCTCTGATCCAAGTGTACAACAGGTAGATAAGGTTGGAAATGTATACCAAACCTAAACACTTGGATCCTCTTCATCTGGAAGTATGAGGTGGACATCTGCAACTGAGCACATGCATAATTACTAATGGGAAATATTTTCTTAATGCAATTTACATTGCAGCATTTTAACTTGTTTGTGCAAGAGTTTGATGGTTCTATCATTTGAAATTGCTTGAATGGTACGTCCTTATTTATGACAACAGCAGTACTTTCTCTGAAAGATTCCAGCAGCTTTTCACTAACTTTGCATCAGGGCAATATTTTGATCCTTGTTGATGTTAGGCCCGGAGGACATTGACTTAACATGTTGGTTGTTTAATAGCATTTAGCAGTAGCAAAAAATGTGAACTGCGGAGGGGATGTAGATATGTGGAATTTAATTAACCAAACTGGAACTCAGCCAGAACTCAGATCAACAGTCCCAATCTTGCAAAAAGCACAAGGGGATTTCTAATAGTTGGTGAGTGAACTGAGCTTTCATTTTGATGTCACCTTGACAATTGCGGTGTAAGCAATCTAGTATCTACTCTTCTAGGGAATTTATTCAGTAATGTTGTGAAGGATGGTCTATACCACTTACTAAATTACTAGTAATTACTAGATATTACTTCTTGCAGCATTCTGTCCTGTTTTTACGTCTTTCATATAAGTACCAAGTTCAACCTTAGCATTTGAGAGCCGGGAGGAGCACAGCTTGGGGCAGCAGAGCTGTGTGCATAGCATGGTGCAGTTGCATGCCCACTAGAATTTTTAATGTGTTGAGGGTATTTTTCCGCAATGTTGTTAGTGCAGGCTGTATAGTAGGCTTCATAAGTTAATTAGGAATGGGATCTTGAATGTAAAATAAGTGCTTTATTTCTTTTTTTTTTTTTTTTGGTGTATTTATCAGCCTATTGTAAGTGGCCCTGCATTCGTTAGTTTACTGGAAAGACTGGCTGCTGCTAACAGGTTTTGTACATGTAAGGTATGATTTATAGAGCCAAATTCTAATTATTCTTTATACCAGCCTCGGGCAGTACAGTATTCTGCAGTAAAGTGAATGATTTTGGTACATCCCTGTAAATGATCTTTCAATATGAATATTATGCAGTTTACCAGAAATATACTTCCTTGCTCTCTAGAAAAGGAACAAATTTTAGATACAGAAACTAATAATTCTGATGTGTTTCTTTTTTTGTTATGTAAAACATCTTGGAATACTAGCCTCCTGTCAAAAGTCCACGCACCCTGGTTATTCAGGAGTGCCTACCAATGGAAAACTAATGTAGCTATCATATAAGCCTATCATTTATTAATATAAAATAGTTTAAATATAGTTAAATCAGTAAACAATTAGTTTCTAGTTCAACTGTCACATGTATTTGAAATCTTCGAAGTCTGCTTCTGGCTCAAAGTACAATATTTCTAGGAATATCTGAGTTCGTATGCCTTGTTTTCTTTGTAAACCAGCAAACAGTGATATGTGTGTGGTTTATGAATGTGAGCGTGTGTGACTCTGAAGGGAAGCTGGGGTGGGTTTCCTGTGTGAGTGTGACAAAGCTGTTGGCTGCGCTGCCTCCTGAACAAACCCTCCCTTGCATTCCCTTTCCTTCTTACTTCCCTTTGCTGTCAGGAAAAGACCTTCCATAGAGCAGTAGTTCTATAAAGTGCAGCCTCAGCGTAGGTTAGGGGCTGTAACAGCGTTGACAAAGGACTCTTTGTCTCAGGCAAAGGTTCTACTGCTATAAATAATGCATGTTTTAATTGGAAACTGCAAATGGAAGTGTCAGTCTCTACAGGCTCGTTGATTTCAATATAATCTGTTAGGGGCAGATTGTGTTTACATGCACATGCACCACATTCCCCAAATTTGTGGTTGGTTGTTTTTATTAGTACTACCTGTGCTAGTGAGTTTCTTTCTATAAATTAAGACAAATGTCATACCTAGCTAATCATCTGGAAATTTCTATCACTGTGTATTTTGAAATTTGCCTAAAGCACTGTTACAAGACTGAGTACCCACTGATGTTGTGTCCTAGATTCTGTTTCCCTTGGTCAGTATTAATAGGATTGTGCACCGTACCTACTGAAAGTAAATTTAACTATTAGTAGGGAATGAGTTTAAAAGCAGATAATAAACATAGACATTTCTTGCCAGATTTCCCTGGGATTAATCACACTGTACCTGATGTTAGCCACAGGTTTAGGCTTGCGTGTACAATTACTGGAGCTATGATGATACCTGGCTAATTCATGAAGTTGGAATGCTGATCACATCTAAGAGGATGAGCACAACTTTTTGTAGCGTTTTAATTAAATTGGTTTAAAACCACACCTTAAGGCCTCTTCTAAACATTACATCCTACCAAATTGGGTAAAGGTGTCCCACAGTTACCTAAATGGTGCGTGTGTGAATACAAATTTGCGTCAAGGCTATTAGTTTGCTTTGGGCTAGATGCATTTCTGCTTTAATTTGCATAATTTCTGTTTGCGTCTATTCACCAGTCTTGCTTTAAACCCATTTAACAGTGTCAAGATGAATCTTGCACATTTTTTTTTTAGTAGCTTATAGATATTAAAATAGTAAATGGCCTCCCTTCCCCCTTGCAGAACTGCAGAAAAAAAAGTGGAAGCAGGTTAGGGTGGCCCTATGTCATTTGATTACTTTCCAGTTTGGGCATCCTAATCTTCTGCTGTTTGTGGGCAAGCCTGAGCAACAGATACTTAAAATGCATCTAAGAAGTAGAATTTAGGATTAAAATAGGTTTTAAATGTGTAGAACTTCTAAGTGATGTGCAATCCTTCCAGAAGTGACTGAAGGCTGATTTTAGAAAGCTGTAGGAACGCCAGATCCAAACCGTTGAGTGCCTAGAGCCAACCCAGTGTCCCACCACAGGTGTGTATTTAGCTGAGTGCCTCAGAGTCCAATCCAGAAGATGCTGACATTGAGTAAGGGAGCCTTCCAGTTAAGAGGCAAGGCTGAATGTAGGATTTGAGTTTTATCCCTGATCTTCAGACTTAGGTACCTCTGATGGCTGGAGTTTGCTCTGACAAAACACAACCAGGGAAAGTCCTGGGGCCCCTACTTGAATTTATTTGCCCGTGTGTAGATATCCCGTGGTGGTTCAGATCACTCCTTTGCACAGGAGGACAGGGTTTCATATTCTGTGTTTCCCAAGAGAGTGTGGAAAGGTAAAAACCTCTGGAAATGAGGTTTATCAAGCAATCGTATGTAAGTGTTGTTTATGCATGAGGAGACCAGGCTTCTAATTTCTATTACAGAGAATATTTAAATCTTCTGTGTTAAATGGAACAGGGATTAGGTCTCATCATTCTGTGTAGTACGTCTTAAATGCGATGTTGTGCAGACATTCTCTTCTTTTTCTGTTGGCTAATGATGACTGAATTAATCTGTGTGTGAAGCGGTGGTTTCGGTACAAATGTAGCTTTATGGTTCAAGCCCTTTCTTTAGGGGTGATACCATCAGGCAGAAGAGCTATTTTGAATTTTTTCTTTACTGAGGTTACAAAGCAAGTCAGGGGCAGAAATTAGGTGGGGACAAACAGTTCTGTCTTATGTATCAGTCTTTTCAAATATACCTTCTCTTTGTAGGACAGTAGTAAGAGATGAAAGAAAACAGCTCTCTTCTAAAAAAATTATTGAAAACCAGTTCAGGATAGCTAGTAAAACTAAAAAGGTAGGAAGGAGAAGTCTTACCCAGATGGAATTGTTAAAACCTGATTTTTTTTTTTGTTGGAAGACCAGTAGTTAAAGGATTAACTCTGTGTTCTGCAAGGTAATCCATTATGTTAGTACATTTATTCATTTATTGATCATAACTAAGCAGGCCTTAGTGATGTATATGATGTACGTTCTTGGATTACATGGCTTGAAAGCATCTTGGATAATTTTTCAAGTTTATTGAAAATCTAAATCAACATTTTTAACTTGACATTCTCCTTTTCAAAGGTCATTCTGCATATAACAGGAAATGTAAAAGGCCAACAGAAATAAATTGGCTACAAACGCAGCAGCAGTGTGCAGAAAAGATCTCCAAAACATTTATGTATTATGTTTCCTCATTTACATCGTATTGATTATTTTCACAGTAAGCAGCTGCGTGTGGACTTGCAGATACAAAAAAAAACACATGCCAAGAGGTGGGATGTGAAGATGAACCCACGGACGCGGGGTAGGTGAAAGTCCCATGCTGTGAATGATACTCAGCCTTCCTTTGGGTCATGGCATGGGTAACTCCACACCCAGTGAGTAATGTGGTCACACGGTGGTGACAGGCCACTATAGCCCAGGGAGAAGGAAGCTCTTTTTGTCTTCCTAACCAGGCACATTCAAAGGTATGCCCAGAAGCTGTTGCTGAAATTGCTGACTGCATCTAATTGCTGTTCATTTATTCTGGTCTGAGTTGGACTGATTAATAGCTGTAAGCAGGAGCAGAGGAATTTTGCTCTTTATAGGTGGGGCTCAGAAC